ACTTAAGTACTGTAACGAAGTATTATTACTTCGTTACATTACACCACTGTAAACTATATAGACAGACATATATATATATATATACATATTGATAGATAGATAGATAGATAGATAGATAGAATATAGATATTTATATAGTACTTGATATACCAAAATAACTAAGACAACTTTAATAAAATAGCTAAAAACTATATTGACATATTAAAAAAAAAATGACAATAACACAACAAAACTAAAAAAAAACTTTAACTTAAACTGAAATAAAAACAGAAAATATAAAAATAATATCTCAAAATATTAACAAAAACTATAATAGTAAAAAATAAACTGATAAAAAAATAAAATAAATGAAAAATTAGTTTTAAATTTTATTTCAAGTTATAATGTTTTTTTTTTCTTTCTTTGTTACGGTTTTAGTTTTAGTTAACTATAATAACCCTGGCTGCACATGGTCCTGACATGTTTCGGTGGATTTACCCAATTGGATGTAATCTAAATGAAAACTATACAGTTTTAGAAATTGATCGTTTGACTAGGCTGTGTGTTTTTTGTCTATGTTACTATGTTGAGCGTTTCAGTACATGCACACTCTGTAGAAATGTGTTGTTAGCTAAAGCACAGGAAACAAACAATGTCAAACGCTGACACTACATGTTTTTCCATTACAGAGCAGCTCATCCATGATAACCAAACTCTGCTCATCAGGTCAGCAGGAGCACAAGACTCACCCTGCGCTCTGACAGCTGCTCCTGAAACGTGAATTCAACAGTTACCCAACACCCTCATGTTTCAGTGTTTCATGGCATCGGTAATGCACAGTGGGCTCTGCCAGGGATTCGTGTCTGTACCTTTCTCCAGGGTGCGGAGCAGGCTGTCGTAATGCTGTACGGTCTCCTTATAGTCCCTCTCGATCTGCATGTTGTCACTGGAATCGAAAAGCTTGGAGTCCTGGCTGTCTTTGAGGAAGTCCTGATAGTGCAGCTGGAGGTTCCTCAGCATCAGCTGGTACTCGTCTGGCTTCATCGTCTTGAACTGAAACATAAGAGGACTCTTAGCTACTTTTACATTCAAAAATGGATCTTTCCCTAAAGTACTGATTAGTGCAATGACAAAATTGCAATAATAGGCCTACTTAATAATCTTGATCTAGTCTCATCTGAAATGTGTTGCAAAACTATTCTCAGATGTTAAAACAGCAGAATCATGTCTACTCTTTCATTCATTTAGAAGAGCCCTTGAAGGTCCTGTTATTCAATAAAGCAATTTTCCTTGTTTACTGCCTGTTTCCTAAATATAACTCGGTCGGTCTGCAACCTAACAATCAAGTTACTGAATTAAAATCCCATGTTGTTCACTGTAGAACACGTGTTTTTCTTTCAGAGTGAAATAACCAGACAGTGCATTTACTTCTAAGTTTCACAGCATATATGCACTGATCTCTTTCAGTAGCAAATACATTTAATCAATCAATGAAATAGCTAAATCATAAAAGGTCGACCTCATACGTCATCCGCCCGGAGCTGTTCTGTGTACAACAGTGAGCGCAAGCTAGATTAAAGTGATTATTACGTTTTGAATATGGATATTTTTCTTACAAAAAAGCATCGATTCGCTACAGGAGGCCTTTGTTCACCCCCCGGAGCCGTGTGAGACACTTTTTTATGGATGGGCGCTTTTTATTTAACTTCTTTTGGACTGATGCATGCAACACCCGCTGAGTGGCATTAAACAGCTTGAAAGATTAAAGACAATTTTTAATATAACTCCGACTGGATTCGTCTGAAAGAAGAAAGTCATATACACCTAGGATGACTTGAGGATGAGTAATTTATGGGCTAATTTTCATTTTTGGGTGAACTAACCCTTTAATGACTAAAACACAGAGGTATGTATTTATGTCATGAATGAAGCATAGAACGGACCATAGTGATGTTCCAGGAGCGGATGAGATGGATGTCTTTCATCAGGTATTGCCAAGACAACAGACTCCTGAGGTCAGCGTGAAGCTTCTGCCACAGAGCCAGAGTCTGCTGTTGACCGGCCTCCAGACTGACAGAAACATCAACATAACATCACCAATCGTGCAGCACAAGTACACTGTGAGCGTGAGTGACAGCTAGTGTTTATTTCGTTATCGAAAACTATGACGAAAAATGTTCGTTGACGAGCTTTTTTCCCATGACTAAGACGAGACGACATACATGAATACATTTTCTGCCCGGTGTTTTGCTTATTTTAAGCAATCTGCGGAAGCGCCGTCGCCGATGATCTGAAAACAGCGACAAACAAGCTGGAGTTTAGCGATCTAAATGAAAGCATCATTCAGCTGATCTGTGTTCTGTCATGAGACCTCGACTATAGCCTATGGACCTTTTTCACATTTCCGGGTTTCAGACAAAATGTTATTGTGCACTGCTCTACACGCCTCTACTACGCGAGCTTTCATGAGTGGGGTTGCCAGATATCAAGAGTTCAAATCAAAGCTTTGCTGTTACATGAATACATTTTCTGCCCGGTGTTTTGCTTATTTTAAGCAATCTGGCAACCATGCGTCGCCGATGATCTGAAAACAGCGACAAACAAGCTGGAGTTTAGCGATCTAAATGAAAGCATCATTCAGCTGATCTGTGTTCTGTCATGAGACCTCGACTATAGCCTATGGACCTTTTTCACATTTCCGGGTTTCTCAGCAGCGGAAGTCGTCATAGTTGGGTTAACTTGAAGAGCAGTGAATGGGAGAGTACCACAAATATATTTTTTGCATTCCCATTTGCTCAAATAGCAAAAGAAAAACTCCACGATAGTGTTTTCATGA